TCTGCTGAGCGACCCGTGCGTATATGTGTACGGTGCTGGACCGACATACGCGATACTATGTGTGTACGTGGACGACTGCACACTAGCTGGAAAGACACCGAGCGTGGTTCAAGATTTGAAGAAACAACTATCGGACAAATTCAAGATGACGGACGGCGGACCAGCGGAACTACTATTAGGAATGGAGATTTCTCAGAGCGACGGAGAAATCATTGTGAGCCAACACAAATACGTGATGAATATTCTGGACAAGTACCAGATGGTGGATTGCAAACCAGCAGCAACTCCAGGGAGCGGACCGGAGATCGAACAAGAGCCGGAGAACGCTATATATTTAAGCGAAGAGGACAAGAAACTCTACCAAGGAATTGTCGGAAGTCTACTCTTCCTGACTAACACAACGAGATGGGAGATTGGATATGCCGTGATGGTCCTGTGCAGAGGGATGAACAAGCCTACTAATCAACATATGGTCGGAGCAAAGAGAGTGCTGAGATACCTTCGAGGATGCCCGGATATGCCACTGAAGTTCAGGAGAGGACAATGGGACCTGAAGTGCTACTGTGACGCGAGCTTCGCTGGATCGAGCGAGAGACTTCAGAAGCGTTCTTCTACTGGATACATCTTCATACTGGCGGGAGGCGTCGTCAGTGCAGCATCAACTTTGCAGAAGCTAACAGCTCAGTCAAGCGTACATGCGGAGATCATTGCAATGGCTACAGCAGCTAGGGAAGCCATCTATCTGCAAGGTGTACTGTCGGAGCTTGGATTTCCATGTGGAAATATTCCGATTCATTCGGATTCTACGGGAGCTATGAGCACAGCAGGAAACTCCATGTTTCGAGGCCGTAGCAAGTTCATCAGCACGAGATACTGGCTACTTCGACAGAATGTCAACAAGGGAAATATTGTACTGAAGTTCGTGAGGAGTGAGGAGCAGCTTGCGGACATATTGACCAAGCATCTGGAACGTGTCCAATTCGTCAAACTGCGGACATTGGTTCAAGAACATGGAGGATCTCCGAACTAGGAGATCAAATGCGGAGGAACTACAGNTCTAGCGAGGAGCTCATGGAATGAATTGATGGTTGAGCAGAGGATTGTATTGTAGCGAGATCACGAGGTGTTGCGAGCCCCATCGGGCTCACTCCCAACTATCCCTCAACATCTCAACTCTGCAAGCTTGCTAAAGAAGAAGAAAGTACAAGTCCCAGAAGCGGCACTTAGCAACAACATCGACTACGGTCATTGCCTCAACAGACTGCGGTCTGCACATTGCACAGACAACTGTCTGGAACTGCACAAAGGCTTCATAGCCTGCAGACTGCACGAAGGCTTAACCGCCTGCAGACACGACCCTGGGTACAGGGCACCTCGACACGACACATTTCTACACCCAACAACNAAGAAGAAGAAAGTACAAGTCCCAGAAGCGGCACTTAGCAACAACATCGATTACGGTCATTGCCTCAACAGACTGCGGTCTGCACATTGCACAGACAACTGTCTGGAACTGCACAAAGGCTTCATAGCCTGCAGACTGCACGAAGGCTTAACCGCCTGCAGACACGACCCTGGGTACAGGGCACCTCGACACGACACATTTCTACATATAAATACAGACAAGAGAAAGATTAGTTGGGTCACTTCATAAGAAAGAAATAACAACGAACCTACGTCCGCAGCGAACTCCACGAATTTATCTGTACGTTGTATTGTTCTATGGTTCAACGTGCAGCAGGCGCAACCACGGAGAGCAGACGACGTGCGTTTTCGAAACTGCTGTATTAGGGTACCTGTGATGACCGAGCAACAAGGTGTTCGTTGTTGTTCCACACACCACTGCGCTGTGAGTGCTGGAAAGAACAGCCTCCACCGCTATCTGCTGTTTATAACGTAAACATGCCACTTTCTGTTTATCTATGCAGAGACTACGAGCAAAGAAATAATTGCCACATTATTTCTACATAGATAGGAGGAACGATTGGCCAATCGTTTCGCAGTGTGATGAAAAACCGTTCCGATCTCTGCTCAATACCTTCTGTCGTCCGCACCAACCCACCCGATGCGGACGCCTTCCTTCCGTGGTCACAGGTTTAACGGAATACCCTAGAAAGGTGTGGATAAAATGAAGAAAAACAACGAAACGAAAAGGACCGAGGCAGGACTCACAGAGAAGTTACACAACGAACGCAGACCTTTTTTCAATTCTAGAAGGAACTCCCCCGTTCATGGCCGAAGCACCACTCACTACTGGCAAGACGCTGAAGTTTTTCTACTGATTTGGATTCCTCCACTCCTAGCGGCATCACTATGTTCAGTTTGGGGTGTTTTGAAACGTCCGCTACTTGCTCCCTCGGCGCTACCGCTCCGCTCTGCACATACTTTTCCACTTGTTCGTGAGGTGGATTATGCCATCCTTACGAAGGCTACTACTGCGGTAGTACTCATTCATGTTTGTGTGGTTTTGAGCTTTTTTTGTCAGTGCGAAAGTACGTGGCCGCCCATCGGTCAGTTGGATCTTCGGGGTATCTCCGGTAGTAGTGGTATCTGTGGCAAGTTGTCACGCGTTCCGTGCTGGCATGTGTTTCGAGTTCCGAATGTGTCTTGCGAATGTTGCTCGCGTGCCTCGGTGATTGCGATGCACCCTGGTGCCCACTCTCGTCCGTTGCTCGTGTCTACGAGGACGACCAATAAAACGACTGCTGCGCATCGGCAAAACCTGTGAACGCCTCCAGCGCATGGTTCGGGAGCTCCACTGACGTCAACTCCTAACCGTTGTACTTGTTTTGTCCTTGAAATCCCCCTTCCGTATCCGGGCCAATGAATTGTCTGATATCCACACCTCGTAACCACCTGTGAGGTACATAGCCCGCTCTTCGTCGTCTCTTAGTCTTCAAGTAGCTTCTACAGGAAGCAGCTTCAGCTAGCGTGATCATCGCGCGCGGGGAGTTCCCTACTCTTGTCACAACTCACGGGCTGCATGCATTTACCTATGGAAAACTGTGCCTGACTACGTTGTAACAGTTTTCCTCGACAGATGCCTGCTCAAAGTAAGAACGTCGAATATTACATAGAACACTGAGCATCGAGCCCACGCAAAAGAAGTGGCTAGGGGGCGGACGCCATCCGTTATGATGGCATGACCACCGTTCACCACAGTTCAACCGATAGATTCCAAGGTACGTTTTTTTCCCACCCAGGCACAAGAACAGCAACAGCTGCAGCACCAGCATAAAAGGCTCTCCTGTGCGTGGATGATTGACCCACGAAACCGCGCTCGTTGCTGCTCGGGGCTGTAGCACCGGGTACCCCTTTCGCGGCACATAGACGACCTTGCTTGGTCTCACGGAGAAAATCCCACTTGCCCCGATTGACCACTGCAGCAGCACCGATGAAGTGCTCCTTCCATCTCATGCCACGAGCCTCTCGTCTGTCTCTCAGTGTGCTGCATGCTGTGTGATACCATGACGCAACGAACGGAGGCAGTCAAAACGACGATACCGCCGTACCAAAGCAACCTACACACGTGGCCCAAGCCCAAGCACTCGATTAGAAATTACGGTATGTGAGACACCCGAACCCCAGCTCTGCGCCTGCGCACAAATGGAACACCCTGAAAAAACACCTATCTGCGTGCCCCCTACCGCATGTTCGCATCTTCCCAGAGAGCATCGGCAACAGCTGCAGGCAGACACGGCAACTTTTGTCTTTCCAGAGACGTGAAGCACCACACACCAGGACAGTGTGTCTGTGCGTGTGTACAAACGGCAGTTATGACGGCAACTATGGCCGCATCCAAGAATAGGAATCCGTCTCCAGGCTCTCGTTGTCGGAGGGACTGCTGTCAAACATGGGTACCAGCGACGGCGGCTTCACGCATGCTAGTACTGCTGCTGGTGCCGGTCGTGTGGGTTGGCGCGTTCATCAAGCATCCATGTCCGCTCGGTCTAAGCAGCTCCTGCATTCCGGCAGTTCAAGTTCTTCACCCGAGCGTCGACACCAGGAATTGCGCGGTATGTAAGAGCCCTGTTTACGTCGCTTCCGCACCCTGATCATGATTGCGGCCAAGCCTCCGCCTGCTTCATTCTGTTGCAGCTGCAAGACTAGTGCTGCTGTGCTGTAGATGTTCTCTAACGGCAGCCAGTGTGGAGTGCGTATCAGTGAAAGGGACGGAAGGATTAACGTGCTGCTCGCAGATCAATGCGCTTAACATGTCTAGTACATATCCAACGGCAGTCTCATCGATGTATTGTGACACGTGTCAGGAAGTGGGCGCTTGGAGCACCAGGCCGGACGGCGGCGCCGACAGTTTTGAACACCCGTCAACGGCTCACAACCACTGCGAAGAGTCACCAACAGCGTTGAGTCTCACGCCATTAATTCCCTTCCCCCGGGCACACACACTGCCGCTGCTGTTGAAACGTTGCACGCCGACACCCTCTTCACAAGTCAGCACGGGCGTGAGACGTGCACGCAACTGCAGGAGCGTTCGACGACAAGCAGGTCACCCGACTTGCCCGGTCAACAACGACCTCACCCTCCCCCGCCCGGCCGCCTGAAAGCTGACCACGATGGCGGCAGCAGCATTGGCTGGATGGGCTCCCTCAAGCGCGTCTGGAGCGACGTGACGTACGGCTTGTTCTCTCGCCGTGAAGAACGATCCCCGCAACGTTCTGACGGGCCTCTCGCCTCCACCGAGTCTGCCCTCAGGCTTGCCAGGACTGCAAGAGGTGGGTCGGGCGGGGCGGGGGGGCGGGGGTGGTGGTTCCCGGGCCAACGCGCAAGGCGAAGGAAAAATCTCGCGAGGGCGGCGGAGCTCGCCGCGGCAAGAAGGGATGAAGCGGGCGGCGGCGGGGCAGCAGCAGCAGCAGCAGCAGCAGCAGCAGCGAGCGCGCTCCCAAACGGGCTCGCGAACCAGGGCAACACGTGTTACCTGAACTCGTTGCTGCAGACCTTGTACCACGCCCCCGGCCTGCGGGAGGCTGTTTTTGAGGCCTTGTCTGGTGGGGGGGACGGCGAGACGGTGTCGGCATTGGGGGAGGTGTTCCGGCAGCTGGAGCAGGGAGGGAGGTGCGACAGCTGCTCCTGTTGTAGTTGTTGTTGCTGTTTTTCGTACGGGGTGTTGCTGGTGCTGTTGCACAGATAGGTTTGCGTCAGCGACGGCAGGCACTGGTGAAAGTGTTGCCGCCACTGTCATCGCCTGCGTGCGTGTACCTCGCAAGCTTGTAGGTTTGGCGCTTGAAGCGTTCTTCTGAAGGAGAGGCTTGTTCGTGGTCCTCAACGCCGCTCGAGTAGTCGCGGTAAATGGTGCTGCTGTCTCTTGGGTACCGTAAACATGCAAGGAAGACTTGACGAGGTCATTTTCCAACATGACCCTTTGTCGGCATCGATTGACAACCGTTTTGGTCTTGGAGCAATCGAGCTGTGAAAGTCGTTCAACGGGGTGTGCCATCGCTCGCACTCTGTCTGTCTTCTCTCGAGACGAAGATAATATAGGTACAGCGAAACAGTTCCACTCTACAGCAGCAACTGGGCTTCCCCCTCCAACACAATACCGTTTGTTTTTCGGGAAGCAGGCCAGCTTCCACGCTCCCGGTGACTCGCGCGATGGGAGTGGACCCAAGGGTGCAGCAAGACGCGCAAGAATTCGGACGGTGAGAGAGAGTTAATTTGGTCGTTAAGAGTGAGGGTTTGGACGGTGGTGGTGAGGGTTTGAATGAGATTTGCAAACGGCAAGAGTGGAAACATTTTGCGGTGAGAACGGCAGTTAGGATGGGGAGTTGGACGGTGAAGGCAAGAGCTAGAGTAGGAGGGGAGGGATAGTCTACGTTGGTGGTCATCATCCACGGCTGCGTTTTTGTCGGTCCGGTGGTTGTGTCGTAGCGAAGGCAGGTGCAGCCCTCCTGCAGTACTCACTCTTGAGACGCGTGTTAGTAGGTAAAGATTATCTTCCGTGCTGCGAAGCAGTCGTTCGTTTTTCGTGACAACATCCTCAAAAGAACGTGTTCTTCTCTTCCCTTCCCTCGTTGGTCTTTGTGTCTTCATCCGGTCTACACGTTGTATGATGGTACTTTATTTCCTATCGTTTTCACAATGTGTGTTTAGTACCTACACAATCCTACCCATACCCTCAAGCCCATCGATAATCGTGCTCGTTTGTTTACAAGCTGTAGCGTTCGAGCTCGTATCCTTTCTGCCTGCCTTGTGTTTGTCTGCTGCTTGATCAGGTTTTTGTTCATGGCTCTTGAGGGCGAGAGCGATAGCCAAGGGTCATCACCGGACACGGCAGCAGGGGGGGCGGGGGGCGACAAAGAAGAAGTTGGGGGGCTTTCGGCCGCCATCAAAGATCTGTTCGCGGGACGATTGATGAGCTACGTCGAGGTGAGCGTTGGTTTGTGAAAGTGTTGAGTCCTGCTCATCTATTGACAAGTGCGCTGTCGAGGTTTGTACGCTACCGGGTCAGCTGACGAACTCTTCCGTTTCAAGTTGGTTGGTGATACTCAACGCAACCTGATCTGTCTGTTGAGATAGGTTGTGGCCGTTTGATATGGCTGTCAAGAGCTGATACACTCTGCCGAGAGCAGCTGACGACCTGCGTGCCAGAAAAGTGCATCGACAACTTACTCTACCATACCGATTTTGTTTTTTTCAGCGTAAACTAGAGGGATGACCACGGTTCAGATTTTCCAGACTTGTGTGCATTGCGCCAGTTTCCGCAGGTAACGAAATGGCGACATCGTTGAGTTCTCGCGACGCCAGCAGAATGCGCGTGTTCCTGCCAGTGGAAAGCCGAAGAGGGGCTTGTGTGGTTTCTTCCTTCTTTTTTTGTGCCCTGTTGACCCTGGTGACCTGCCTGCAACACGAAAATTGCTGCTGTGGAACCTACCCAGTGTGTGGATGTGGCGTTCACGAAGGAAAAAGAGGAAGCGTTTTACGACCTGCCTATGGACATCAAAGGAAGCGGGACGCTGCAAAAATCGCTCGACAGGTGTGCGAAATCTTGATTGAGATGGGCGTTGGTGGTGAAGGTTGTGCCGAACTTGTTCCCCTTCGGCATGTGCTTAGGTGCGGGCGCGGTATGTGGTGATGCGGCGGTTAATTGTCTGCTCAAAATCACGAAAGAATTGTGTCCGCTACTTGTTCGAGCTTGCTGAAATGTTCCGCTGTAGAGCTCCTCTACACAGGCATGCACAACCGAAACCATGTTGATCTTTTCGTTTGCGCTAAGAGTGATGCTCATTCCTTACGTACGTGTAGCCGCGGAAGTTCCCTCTTGACGTACGCGAGAGCGGAGGATTTCATGGCAATTGGTTGATCATATTGAGGACAGCAGTGGTGACACTCATTTTTTGTTGTCCTAGGATACTGACTATTTAACATGTCTACAGCATGCTGTCACCGTAGGGTGTGTGTCTGTTTCAGTGCATGCCGCATTCATTCACCAACCACGAGTTGCTCAAAATATGGTGGCGTTTTTGGTGGCCTGTGTTTCGACCTTCCTTCACGCGTTTTGTGTTGCTTCTGCACTCGGCCAGACGGTCAGGCGCTAACGCACTTTTCTATTTTGGTTTGCCGAATAAGCCTTTGTCAGTGTTTACTGTTCACAGTTTCTGCAGTGATTTTGTTTGCTGTTTTTTTTTTTGTGTGTTTTTGTCTTCAAAGGAACACGTTTGATGCCTGTGAGCACGAAAACAATCTCTTTCTAATTCTGGACAGACTATCGGCGTCCTCCCATGATATAGTTGCGCTTGTTGCGATGCAAAGGTTTTGTCGAATGATGTATTCTACCTCACGTACGTACCGTTGGTCGTACCGCCGGTGGCGTGCACGAAACGATTTCGATAATTTTGCAGGTTCATTGAGGCGGAACTCTTGTCCGGGGACAACCGCCTTAGAGCTGGCGAGCACGGCTTGCAGGACGCGAGGAAAGGGATTCGTTTCCTACAACTCCCGCCGGTACTGCAGGTGAAGACACGCTTTTTGTCCACGTTGCGTTTGGATTCCCCGACTTCGTTATGATATATTTCTTTGCTATTTGTCCACCCTGTATTTGAGAATACTTTTGTCAACGCCTCGATAATGATTTCGTTTTGATTCCGCGGGTCTCCGTTGCATCCTCGAAGAGCTTGGAGTAGCATCCACGCATGAAGACCAGGCGAAAATCACCCCGAAGTACTCACCGTCAGCCACTTTAGGGCCATTGTGATGTCCTGAGGTTTAGTTTGCTTTCACTGTTTTGGTGAATGTGTGTGTGTTAGTTTTTTTGATTGCGCATTTTTTGTTGAGTTTCGCCTAAACCGCTTCGAGTACGACCCGTACCAAGGCGACCGGGTGTTTTTTTTGGCGTTTCGTTTTTTCTTGCGTTTTGTTTTTTTTTGTTCAGTTTCACCTGAAACGGTTCGAGTACGACCCGTACCAAGGCGACCTCGTCAAGATACACGACCGATTCGAGTTCCCGACGGAGCTTGACATGTCGCCATGGATGACACCACCACCGCCGTCACCAAAGGATGACAACGAGAGCGACATCGAGAGCGAGAGCGAGAGCGAGAGCGAGAGCGAGAGCGATAGCCACACCGATGCCGAAGACAAGGCAGACACGTACAAGCTGTCGGCCGTGGTGATGCACGTGGGAGGCCCCGCAGCCGGCCATTACTACGCGTACGTGCGCTACAGGGAGCCCCCCTCCCAGCACCCACCATCGGAAGATGATGCGGGTGGGAGCGGTTCCGGTGTGCCGGGAGCAGCAGCAACAGCGGGGGTCATTGCTGACAAGAGGGGGGCATCGCCATCGACGACATGGGTTAAGCTTGATGACCATCGCGTGACCAAGGTTTCTGAGGCCGAGGTGCTGCGTGATGCCTTCGGGGGAGGGGGGGGGGGGTACAGGGGGCCAGGGGCTGAGCTCCAAGGATTTTTTGGTCAGGTGAGGCGTGGCAAAGCATGTAGCACAGGAGCATTGGCGCGTATTGGTAGATGCCATGAGGCCAGTTCGCGTTGGGTGCAAGTGGTATGCCGTGCCTGGCAGGGTGGAACGGAACGAGGTCCGCCTTCTGGTAAATCGCGTGTCGCCTGTTGCTAGCAACCCTTTTCCAGGTAGCTCTGGTTTTGTACGTATTCTGCTTTGCCTCGATCACGTGTTTTTTTTTGCAGTATCGTGGTAGGCCGGACACGTTGCAACTGCGCTCCAAACTCTTGACCCTGCGTTCGAGATGAAAGGCCGCACCCAGCTAGCTAGCTGTCAATCGTCGCTCCACAACTCCCTTCAAGAGCTCCACAACTCCCTTCAAGAGCACCACGACTATACGACTATCGTAGAGCACGGAAATAAAACCCGTGGACTCACGACTAGAAAACCCGTGGACTCACAAATAGGAAACCCGTGGACTCACGAATAGAGAACCCCTGGACTCACGAAACGGATGCTCAATATTCCACACCATTTGAAGACAATACTAATTTTCAGCATGTCGAGGTTCCAAAACTGTGCGGGAGTTAGGCCTCTCTTCGGCTCGCCGTACTGGTATCATCCATGACCCGAACAACGCGATGACCATAAACCACAAGAGAATGTCAACATCCATCATGAGCAGTTTGACAACGTAAGTTCGAAACAACAACAACAGCAATGCCTGCTCTGATAGGTGGGAGGATCTGGGGGGGGAGGGACAGCGTCGGCCTACATGCTTCAGTACGTCAGGGAAGAGGGGGTTGGCCGTGAAGCGACCGAGATGGCTTCGGCATCGGAGGGAAGAATACACGAAGACCAGGCGAGTATATGTTTATGTATATATATGTTTTTAGTATCAAGTGTCAACCATGGCTGGCTTTTTTGCCTAGCTTGCGTGAGGTCTGGAAGCATTATCCGAATGAGACGTGTATTTTCGAAAGTGATTACGGTCCAGATTGAGCGGACGGTGTTCGTTTTTTTTTTCGTAGGAAACCCGACCCAAGGTATCGTGTCCCATGTTCATTGTCGATGCCAGAGACAAACAGTATGTGCCGAACGCTTGCCGTATTGTATGAGATCCTGCTATGTCGTAGGGACGGCTGGAATACGGTATCGATGTCTTGTCCCTCTGGACCCAACTCTAGTGCGTTTTCAAGAGGGTTGTGACTTTGTTCTATGTGTACCAAGAACTGCTCGCGATAAGAAACACCAGAAATGCGGACAGCGGGTTATGAATGGCGTTTATCACGAAAACGACAAAACTGAACGTTCCTAAATCGTACTTCATGTTTGTGTTTCTGAACTGCTGGTTTGCTGCGTGTTGCATCTCTTCGTGTCCACCAGGCGAGCGAGTGCCTTCAACCTTGAGAACAGGACGTACGTGACTACAAGGACAATCTACGGACCCCTTCCCGCATGCATCTCGTCGCTAGATCGGAAGCGGCTGTGCGGGCTTGGGTGATTGGGTGCTCCTTGCGAATGGACGTTGGGTCGGGCAACATGTTGCGTCAGGTTGCAACTAGCGTTGTGTGGTTGATCTTTGTAGAGTGCTACACGGGGTCGTGGGTGAAAAAGCAAAGTTTCGGCGTCGTTTCAAAGGAGTCCTTCAAGCTGATGTGGCAAACATGTGCGATCGCTATGAAACTGCTGCTGTTTTTGTTCACGTTGTGCGACCAGGATTGTGAGATTTGACGAATTACGGTAGTCTCCCGAGACCGCCAACAAGACTTCCATGATCGGGTTGGGGAGGGAAGTTAGTCACATGCATGCATCATGATCGTTCAAGTTGCTTGTTTCCAGAGGAAAGATGAACGGCTATACCTTGTGATTTCGCGGCTCTGTCATCCTGCGACAAGAGCGTTCCCCGTAAAGCATTGGGCTCGCTCGGGTGAATGAATGGTGAAGGACAAACCTGTCCACAAAGTAACGGTATCTCACTGCAACAACCAACAAGGGTTTGTTCTCGAATGTTCCGATCGGGCGCAGTACATGTCGGAAGTGACACGCGTTGAAATGTCGTGGGCACCGCCAACACGGCATCACCACCCAGCTGAGGTAGTCAAGAACAGGAAGTTCATGTTTTTGGTGAATCCCGTGAGATCTGCCTACATTCAGAGTGTCCTTCCGTCGTATAACTCTCAATATTCACTCTGCCTATGAACGCGGGAGATCCTCAAAACAGAGTGGACAGCGTCGAAGTTTTGACGTCTGATACGAAGCAGCGGCTGCTTTCTCCGACGTTCAAGAGAGCAAGGAGCCCATGTTATCGTGACGGGTTTTAAGAAGCTGCTGGGAATCACACTCTACAGCAGTAGTTCACCCACATGCTGATATCGGTACCCCCAAGCACGTAGCATGGAGCAACTCTTGAAGGCACCATTAGCCGCCACATCAAGAAATGTTGGCCGTGACTTATTTTTGCTTTTTTGTCGAAACGTCCGATTTCGAACCGTCAACATCCCTGTACCCTCCTCGTCCAAACCACCAGCCCGCCTCATTTTCTGAAGTCACCAGCATCATCACTTTGTCGTTTCCTCCAAAGACAGCCCTGGATAAGGTGGGGTTAGCGCCTCAGCACAGGGCACGAGGAAGCATTGGGCTGACGCACGCGATGCCCCCCTGTTATACTCCTTGCGGCAAGCCGAACAAAGCATCGACAGAATGAAGACTTATTGGGAGGTGTCTGGCCCGTCCTTCTATAGATTGATCTTCTACAGAGTTCTCCAGCAGTATATAGATGTGTAATGGAACGCATAGGGACAGAACAAATGTCAATCACGACTGGAATTCACTTCGAGCCGTCTCGTAGTAGTTACTGTTGTCCCGATCGATACCAGCAGGATCATCGACCTCACACATTCACGGGCACAGACTATAGTCTAGAGGCGTTCGAACCGTCCACAATACGGTGGATGAGATTCGCTTGGCTATTTGAGTGAAAAAGACGTAAGCCGTGCGAGCTGTTGAGCTTGGGAAATATCACAACTGGCAGCTGGCACCCATCTCTGGGCTGGGCCTGCTACTGTAGAATATTTCACCTTTCAACACCCCTTGGATGGCGCTGTGCTCACATGAACCTACCCCAGGGGAATCCCTTTTTTTGCCATCAATGTGTGTGTCAGGCGTATTCTAGAGCGAATTCACCGCTCACGCGTCAGCATTGGAATAAATCTACTATTTGCAGGCGATATTTCCAAGACCACCCCACCTAGAAGTCTTGTCAAAAACAGGGGTCCATGCAGGATACCGAAGGAAATCCGTTGGACATGCAGGAATTGTGAAGCCTGCAAACGGGTATGTGAAAAACCTCAAGGAGCAACTTGATTGGTCGGTTGTCAGGCGTAGAAGGGCGCGCTGACGCAAGATATCAGCAACTCGCGAAGAGGGTGCATTGAACCAAGGCGCCAGAAACCAAGAGAAGACATGCTGGCAGGCGCGAACGAATAGGCCAAAGTGTTGTGAGAATACCCTACCAACCCGATCCGCTAGGTGATTGCAGACAAGGGAGAAGGACCAACTCTTGAAGTTCACTCGGCGAACTACTCCGAAAGGAGCTGCAACCTTCCTTTCCGGATAGGGAGCGACCAGCGTCGTTGTTGCCTATTTCACTCTGGCGGCAAAGGCGATGACGATGACGAACGGGAGTTTGCGAGGGAGAATGAATGAATGAGTCGATGTTTCGCTCGTAGCACGGAGGAGGAAGAGAGAGAAGCCGAGCAGGTGAAGTGGGTCCGGTGGCGGAAATTGGTTTCTAGCCTGTGACACATCATACTCTGTCCATCTTATGTGATCCATCAAATGACTCCTACGTAACGTACGATTGTCATTTGCCCGCCCATCCGCCGTGTGTGTTGGTACGTACGTGCGTGTGAGTGTGACTTTGCTATCTGGAGAATTTATCTGTTGAAACGCCCAGCGCGAGAAGAATTCGTAACGTTCACGAAATATATTATCTAACCAAGATTGATCAAAACAACAAACCTCTTAGCACAATACTTCAAGTACAAGTCAAGGCCGTCCTTCCGGACATGGGTGTCAAGCCTCCCGTGAGTGAGGCCAACCCACATGCGCGTTGCACGAAGAGGGGATGCCAGTCCAATATAACGCATTCTTCCGTACAAAACATCGCGGACGTGGTTATTCTACATTGGAGCCAGCTCTAGCGGACAGCAACTTGCCACGCAAAGAGCTATGCAGATGATGGCAGATTTCCAATGGGAACCGAATATGAGTCCGAGACAACTCTGTTGACTCTGTTGGGGTGTTTGCTGTGCAAGACCGACTCTATTCTGCTGTATGTGTTTGATACGGTATTTGAAGGCGTTCTGTTTTACTGTAACCGTCAGGTGCAGACAGTCCAGGCGTCTGTGTGTGGATAATAAATCACTCTTTTTGGTTTCTCTACCAAGCCTCTACCACATACGCCAACCAGCGTACTACAGCTGTGGTACCGCTCAACAGGTTTTGAGCCACGTATAGCGAGGTAGGGAATCATCTCGAGTCAAATGGCGTCATCAGCGCAACAGCAGTCGTCAAATCATCTGCAGCGCGGATACGTCGCGTTCAGCGGAGAACCCGGCCAGTTTGTCGGTTGGGTCTCGCTTTTCCGTGCGCTGATGTACGAGGCAGACCTAGGTCGGGTCATGTCTGGAGCGGAGAAGGCTCCCACGGTGGCGGAGGATGCCGACGCCGCAGCGACCGCGACGTACGAGAGAGGGAGCTACAAAAGTTCCAAGAAAAGAATGGCAAACTCTACACGCGGCTTCTGCTGGCTACGTCGGACTGCCCGGAAGGATACTCGAGCCCGGCTTCGCAGGTAGTGCAGTCGTTTGGGCCTGTCGGGGACGAGGAGTTCGGTGACGGTCGAAGTGCTTTTGTAGCGCTCGAGCAAAAGTACCGTGTCGATGGGACTTTCAGAATGCAGCAGCTACACGATGAGTTGGCCGCCGTCGCGGTCACCGCTGCTGACAAGTACGATCCGGCTCGCGCAATCCAACAATTGCGCCGCATCTTTCACGAACTCGGCAAACTCGGAGACACAGTCGTGAAACAACGGCAAGCACATGCCATCCTAAAGGCCCTGCCCGACAA